GGCCTAGTAGTCACCAAGCTAACAGGACCATCACGAGTCCCAGAAGACAAAGACAAAACTACTGCATCTCTAACTGTGAAATGCTGAGACCAGAATCTCTTAATAAAGACATTGTTTGTCATCTAGGATCACACTACATTTTCCAGTCAGTTTGGTTTCCTGCTTCCAGCAGCAGCCAACACCTGATGCTTAGGAGAATAGCAACTTTGCTAAATGTGCATTGTCTCCTAGTGTGCATTTGGTATCTGGTCACCACCCTGTTACTTCTAAAAACCTGCATTTCAGTTGTGCTGTGTATACAGTATGGAGTTGGTGGAAATGTTTGAACTGGAATAGTAAAGTGCAGAAGGAGAATAAGCCTTCCTACTTTTAAGGGACTAAGCCAAGGATGCAGTGATGCCTTGGCTAAGATGACACCAGCTACTGCAAACTCACCGTTAGATCATGGACTTGTTCTTCTAGTTTGATGACTTTGTGCTCTAGGGTGCACTCTGAAAGAGGATGCCTGGGCTCATCACAGGGATCTTCTGGGCCACACTCATCTCCAGTGCTCCTCTGCTGGGCTGCAGTGCTGAAGGCACACAGGGAACCTCTGAAACCAGTCAATGGGACAGTGAGTTCTGGGTTACTTTCCTTTCTAACAGGAGAACAGATATGGACGGCAGATGCTATACTGTGCTATTTAATATGGAATGGACACAGATCCAGCCTCAATGGGGATATATGAACTGGATTCAAATGTAGTAAGCTGCATCTAGTTTGTATAACAAGCAGAAGCAATCTAGATAGATGAAGTGAACAACACAACTTCAATCTACAACTTTACAAACTTATAACTACAAAAACGGTCATATTAGTACCACTAGTATCTTGTTCATACTCCTTTTCCTGACATGTTCATAGTAGAAGCTGAGGAGAAAATATAAAGCACTCTTCTAAATGCACCTGCCCAGCTGCATCTCATTTATTTGGGTCCAATATTTGCTTCCAATTTCCCAGCCTTACTGAATTCAGTTGACTGTTTAAGAATCAAATTTGCTTTTGACAATCAAATAAAGCAGTGCAGCTTTTCGATTGGTCTCTCAGCACAGGTGATTAAGCTGCAGTCATGAATGGGATAGTAAATTCTAATGGTAATTTTTGCATGGGAGCTCTTGATCATTCTTCAGATAACTAGGATTTCTGAATGCAATTGACATTATCAAGCCTACATCACTTCAAAGATATTTGTAGGCACAGGCAGAGCAGAGCGCAACATTATGGGGGTATGTCTGCTGGTGACCATATACACCAGAGTGCACTCAAGCTAGCTTTCCCATCTGTATTTGTGGACTTCAGCCACCAAATCCTGGAGACAAGGAAGGAAGTGTATACAGGAGACCCTCGCCAGTCACGGAGATCCCCACGAATGGCAAAATCCATGAATACTGACAGGGCTCCCTGTCAGACCCCACAGCTGCTCCCTGCTCCCCCCCACATTGTTCGCGGTGCTCCCTTGCAGCGCCTGGGGACTGACCCCTTTCCCCCGAGCTTCCAGGGGAGAAGATGCCACAGCCACCTCCCTCCACGTCCCCAGTGCTCACTCTCTACCTGCCTCCCAGCTCTGCTCTCCCCTGCAAATATTTGAATCAACGAACCTGGAGTTCATGAATAGCGAGGGTTTCCTGTACATACAATTTTTCCCAGTTCCCCAGCTCTGCTCCTCCTCACAGATGGACTGACTCACTAGCCAGCTGTCTCCATACTTGCACCCCTGTTTCCTTTAGCCTGTTGATCTTCCCAGGGCACCTCTTGGGTACCTGGTACATTCATTTCCTAAATGAGCCCAACAATGAACAACTTGTTCCACACAGCAATACCTGCTAGACCAGGGACGGGCAATTATTTCAGGTGGAGGGCCGCCTACTGAGTTTTGGCAAGCCGCATGAGGGTTTTGGCATTGAGGGCCGCATGACAGGCAGCCAGGGACAGATTAATATTAATTTTCTAAATTTTTTAGGGGCTCCGCGGGCTGGATAGAATGGCCTGGCAGGTTGCATCTGGCCTGTGGGCTGCATTTTGCCCACCCCTGTGCTAGACACTGCCTGGCCTCCAGTTCCACACAGAGGTCAGTCACAAGCCCTGCACTTCAGGGAATCGCACATACTGTGTGAGTATCCTGCATGGGAACCTAGCTGAGTCTCAGAGTCTAAAGACAATAGCTAAATTTGTTAAGCTAGAAAAATAGCCTGCCCTGGCAGAGACAGAGGAGCTGAATTTGTCCCAAATGGAAGCTGCCACCTCACTAAGAAACCTCAGCTGAACATGGTGGCAATAAGCAGGAATCCTAAGGGCAAATGCAAAGCAAATACTGACCTCAGAATTGAAGTGACGGAACTAGTAAGCCAAGGAACTGGGTTAAGCTGTACAAAGATTAGCCGAGTACAAAGCATTTGGCCTAACACTGCAACACCCAAAAAATAATTAAAAGAATCAAGTTACAAGATATTCAGTCTTCAGTATTCAGAAGCAGCCTTCTTCCAGGCCACAAAGGCCAGGTACAGACACTATACTTCTACTGGCACAAGTGATCAGAAATTGATCTACGTGCATAAGGGAACAGAATAGCACAAAACTGGTCTTTGCCTGTAACAGAATAGAAGTTTGGCATGCTAAAAACTGGTTTAAAATGGCAGAACCCAGTCTAAGATTTGAACTGTTCCCCCTGTCCCACCACAGGGCGAAGGTGTGTTCTGTTTGCTACTGAATTAAACTACGCCACTTACAGAAAACCAGGTAATTGAGATCAATTCTGCCTCAGGCTTTTTGAATGTCTAACTAGCCAGAGTTCTGGCCTGAAGCCAGGCCCAAGCTTTAAGCCCATCTTCCTCTCCTTGCCAGCCTACATGGGATCTGGAGTTTTGAGACAAGCCCTAAGAGGCCTTTCCATTCAGAAAGCACCTTGACAACTGTTAAACAAGAAAGCCTTCCTCCACATTCTTGGAAGGGCTTTAATAACCCTTTTAGTCAAGGGATATTGACATGGTAACTAAAAGCTTCACACTAACTTCAAAGACCACCAAACTTAACTCCTTCCTCTTCCTTACTCAGCAGGCCCCCTCTGCCACATTTTATTTGTTATGGTCACAAGCTCAATGACAGATATCCAGAATCTCCCTCATTTCTCCCAAACCATCTGCATACCAATACCTGTTAATTAGGTGATTTTAGCATCAGCAATGCACCAATCTGCCTTTGCCCCAAAATACACACCCAGAAAACATCCCAGGAAAAGCTACTGCTGAGTGCTTGCTCTGTGGGGTGGTTTCTTGCATACCGATTTTAACTTAAGGACACAAGAATATACTGCTCATCTATACTAGGTTGTTTTCCAAACCTCTCCCCACTCAAAACCCACTGTTGCAGCCCCCTCTGCGAAAGTGCCAGCAAGCTTTTGAGTGGAACCCAAGCTTGAGTATTTCCAAGATACCTGCTGCTGAAGTATGCCAGTCAAGTCTCTCTATGCCAATGATGGTTCATCTCTGAGACATAAAAAGTGAAGTACTATGAAGCTTAGATATGTTCATGACAGAATATTCCACGGAAGGATGAGCTGAATAAACGGATGGGGGTCTCATTTCCTTCATTAAACTTTTCTTCTACAAAACAGGGTACTGTTGGTGGCTTAAAAATGAACCAGCACAGAAAGCAAGTCAGGCTCTGCTCTCCCTGTGTAGCTTTAAAAAAAAAGTCTCTCTAGAATAAACAATTGGTACTTTTTTCCAGAATTACTTCAGCTAAGTCTACTTTGTTAGTATAATTGTTTAGATACACAATGTGGGGTTTACTGGCTAATTCAGCTTCAAAGTTTACTTTAGTCCAGGGGTATGACACAGAGCAGTTTTGGTTTCAGTACAGATTAATCATATGATTTATTATGCAAGCCTCTTAACTGTAAGGGTAGGAGAAACTTGTGAGTAAGTTTCTGTCTGTCACTGGAGAATATCCCATTAAAGATAAAAAGATAGAAAAGGAAAATCTAAAATTGCCACAACCATGAACTCAGTCACAAGACTGCCAATAGTGCATTATTGTGGGATTAAAAGATGCAAATGCAAAGCTGTTAATTACAGGTTGTTCTATAAAGAGGTGGTTGTATTTGTTGACCTGTTAACACTGTTACCTCCCAAAATCATGAGACATGAATGGGAGAGGGAACTATTAACCCATCATGCATGCGTGTGCACGCATGAGAAAGATCAGTTGCAATAACAACCTTTGGGTATTAAATGATTTTATTTACAGAACTTCACTGAGGGACATTAAACAGGCTGGAAAATAGCCTTGAAATAAAGCCAAGGGAACAAGCTTCCCTTCACCCTCACCACCAGGGAGCCTAGCAGTTCAGACACCTGCAGTTTGCAGAAGCTACACAGATAAGTTTAGCAATCATTTACCTGGAGGAAGCAGAGCTTAGTGAGTTGTTTCCGGCTGCATGCAACTCATGCTTCATATATGTACATATTTGTGCATGCACCCAAGCAAAAGGGGAATGAACGAGCTAGTGGCGAAGTCAGAGGGACCTGCCTACGTGAAGCAGAGAGCTGTCTGCATGGATTCCTTTTCCAGCTAGTGAAAAAGAAGCCAAGTCACAAAACACACCCACCCCCAGCCTATAAATTTCCCCAGATATCACATGCTGTTGGACTAGACTGCCTCATACTGCAGACAAGAAACTACAACCCTCTCACAGAGTCAGGGTTAAGAACTACCATGTAGAACTGGACATAGAAGAAGCAGCAAAGCTTTTTCCTAAGAGATGCGATGAGCATTTCACCAAGAGAATGGAGAGTGATCTACTGCAGATGGCATAATGTACACAGAGCATACAGATATGGATTTGCTGCAGCTGCCCCTACAACACTGAGAAATTGCATGGGAGGTGGCCAGGAAATTCCCAAGTGAGGGAAGTGGAGAAGTCTCCAAGGGTGTGAACAGGTTACATACCTAAGCTAAGGAGGAAACAGACATGGGAGCCAGTGTCAGAAAGGGGCAGATACAGGGGGGTTGGAATCAAATACAGAACTTTATCCATGCAGTGTAAATGACATATCTGTAAAACACCTTTCATTGCTTCAAGCCGAATAGGTCTGAGATGAGGCATACAGCATTGTTTCTCCTACAACATCCTCAGGCTCTCTGAGCCCCTTTCCAAACACCCAATACACCTGGGTCACCTCTCCAATGCTCCTCTTGGGTGCCAGGAGGTTCTCTCTTCTCTCCGTTATATGCCTCAGACTCTCCTGCAAAGTCCCACAGGCACACACTCCAGTCTGAATGATAACTTCCATAATGGGATCATCCACACATCGGTCATCATTATTGGCATAATACAGCCTGCAGTAGTTGGACAGCCAAGTGTTTGAGCCTAGGGGCTGGTTTCACAGTGGCCTGATCATCCATCATGAGCTACTCATTAGCAGTTAATCAGTCACCTACAGACCAATGGGGCTCTGTGTTCCCTATAGGAGCTGACATATACAGTGGGACAAGGATACTTTTCAAGTACATAAAGCGTGAGTGAGGGGGAAGACATCTGAACCCAACTGCTTTTTTAAAAGTAAGCCATAAAAGCAGCAGCCCCACCTATGCTTCTGAATCTCTCTACTTCACTGTGCTTTACTCGTCTCCTCTCCCCATTTCCCCTTATTGCAGTAACTCTACAGCCAACCCTGCTTTGACCATACCTAACCAAAGGAGTGGTTTCTAGTTGCCAGCTGCTTCTTTGCAGGCTTTACTCCATAAAGGGGGGTTGGAGCCACGGAGAACGGACATTTCACCCAGCCCAAGTTAAGCCCGTCTCTGACCACCTAACACCCAGAGAGACAACCGCCCCAAACAGATGTGCTGTACAGCAAACCCAAAATGTGCATTAAGAGGACATTAGTCCACGCACGTGCAGGGCAAAGCGGCAACCCTGACACTACCCAACAAGTGGAGAAGCTTTTATGAGAGCTCGCTGGCTTGCGAAGAGGCACTGAGCAGCTCGTGGAGCGCAGGGTCAGAGCCGGGCTGGCGGCATCAGCGTGGGGCAATGGCCCCAAGAGGGGGGTTCATCTCCTCCAGCACTGGCTCCCTCGCGCTGGGCCAGTGGAAATCTGTTACCAGGACAAGTGCTTTCTGTTAGGCTGAGGGGAGCCAACGTTTTTGGAGGTTGTGCCACAGAGAAAACCCCAAACCCTCCCCGCGTGTCACTACATCCCCTGCCCAATCCATTGCTCTGCCTCCACCCTGCTCTATCCGTTGCTCTGCTTTCTCCCCTCGCCCCATGATCCCTGTCCGATCCATTGCCCTTTCTCCCTGTCCGATCCATTGCTCTTCCTCCTCCTCTCACCCCTGCACGATCCGTTGCTCTGCCTTCCGCTCCCCCCTACCTGCAGGGCCGCCGGGCGCGCAGTGCGAAGAGCGGGCTGAGAAGCCGCGGAGCCGACCGCACGGAGCCGCCCGCCATGCTCCGACTACGCCTCCCGCCCCGCGGAGCACCGCAGCTCCCATGAGCCCCCGCGCCACGGTCGGGGAGGGACTACGACTCCCAGCAGCCCCCGCGCCCCGCTACCGGGGAGGGGGTGGGGCTGCGCAGGACTAGAACTCCCAGCAGGCACCACGGGGGTGGGTGGGGCGCGCGCGGTCTGTGTAGCCTCCGCATGACCGGTCTCCGGGGGCCGCGGGCGAGTCCATGACGTAGCATCCTCTGGGCTTGGCTCCGCCCATGTTGCGTCATAGAGGGGGCGCGGTCGTGGCTGGGCCCAAGGGTGCGAGCTGCGCGGGGTCCCGCCCACCGGGGAGGAGGCTCGCGGCAGCCTTGCACCGCGTTGTTAAGGGCAGCACGAAGGCGACGTCCCTTCCTGCCCTGCTCTGTGCGGAGACGCTGCCCCGCCGTCCATGGAGCAGAACCGCCCTGTCTCCCATCCTTTTTCCACCAGCACCCGCTGCTTCCAGACCCCAGGGCGAGGCGATGCTCAGCCACGTTAGCGCCAGGCTGGTCACGGGAGAAGCGAGACCCACTCGCTGCCAGCCGCCCCGTATGCCCCATTGCAGCGCGGGCGCGTGGGCCTGCTCCGCAGCCAGCTGGTGCTCTGGCGGGCGAGGGCGGGGAGTGCCGCCCTGGGGGAGTGTGGGAGAAGCAACTGCTCTTCAGCTGTAGCGCTGGTAGCAGCCGAGGGTGTAACCGGGAGCAGCTTGGCGGCTGTGTTGTGGTGTAAGTGTCTGAGCAGCTTTTAAAGAAGGACAAGGCAGGCGGTTCCCAAGAGTAGTGACGTTAGTATTTACAGTCACGGACGGCTCACACAGCCTGGCCCGTTGCAGGATGGCAGGACAGCAGCGCTTCCCCTCTCCCCCCTCTGCACTCCCAACACATGCACTAACATTAATCAAGACTATTGTCTCCCCCCTCCCCTCAGCATCTTGCTCTTCTTTATTCCCCTTTCTCTGTCCCTTCTCCACTTTGGCTATACCTTCCAAATAACAATGCATCCTATTCTATGTACAGTACGGAGAAAGCACCACTGACCAAAAATACCGTAGTCTCCATTTCCCTCTCAGCTCTGCATCTGATACTGGCTCAAGGGAGAACGAACATGGCTGTCTTCACCCTGGTTGCTTATAGCCTCTCCCAGATACTTGGCAGGGCCCCAGCTGGCTGCTAGCCATTTGCTTTCTAGTGTTGGCACTTGAGCTCTGGTTCATCCTCAGCTGATCCCTGCTCTTTGCACCCAAAAAGAGTGTGGTCGCTTTTGAAAGTGTCAGCCACAGGTGACTGCACAGCCTCCACCCTCCTTGTGCTACTGACCTTACTTGGTATTAGAAATGTCAAAAGAAAACCAAAGCACTTGAGAAGCTGCTGTTTGGCTGAGAGCACCCCAATAAGCCACTGACTAGGTATCTAGAACCCAAACAGGGCACAGGAGAAGCGCCAAGGGGAGTGTCACTTTCCTTTAGGGCCTCTGGACTAGACTGCTGCAGAGGCAAGACACGTGCCCTCTGATCCAGTTTGGCACGAGGCAAGACCAGACACTAAGTATGTCAGTGGGCTGGGCTGGGCTGGGCTGGTCTAGCAGAGCAGGCTCTAACATAACACTGACTCCCAGGAACTTCCATTTCATGCCTGTGATGAAAGCTCATAGCACCCCCTGGCTGAAGTATCCTGCTGACCCATGCTTGACAGATGGCAAAAAATGGAGGCACGTGATGTAAAGCACAGACCCACTGACAGAATCTGGACTATAATCCAGCAGCTCTGGCTGCCAGCTACCTGCACTGTCCACTCACTCTCACTCCCTGCTCCAGTTTGTTATTTGCCAAGAAGGAAACATCCTTCAGGAGGGCTGGTGTTCCAGTCCTGTTCAGGGTGCTCCTTCCTCAGAGACAGGTATTCCAGCAGCATGCGAATCTTATCGTTGAAGGATTTCCCCCCTCCCCAATACCCCTCCCACTCCCCTCCTCCCCAGCAGTTCTGTCATCATCTTGTTTGCTTGCCAGACGTCAGTGCAATTGGAGGGTGGGTGCTTCTCCTTGCACTTCTCCCCAGCACCCTCTTCCAAGGTCCTTGGGGTAAAGGGGCTTGTGGCTCTTCAGTATATCCCAGTGTCCAGTGGGTTCTTGGCAGGCTGTGAGAGTTTGCTGCCCTGCTTAGGTTTGTTTCATTTCCCATTCCTGCAAAAAGAGGAAGGAAAGAGGAAAAGAGTCAGTTTAAGGGCCTGCTAGCAGGAGGACAGCACAGAGAGATCTGGAGCAACTTTAGGCCCCATGTTTTAGACACCAAGACCTGTACTGGGAATGGGGCTCTAGCTCCGATCAGGGTCCTTCGCCTCATGTGGGACTCAGCGGTTGTAGATGGAAAGAAACCTGATGAGGCCTCATATAGCTCAGCCTTCCCAGGGCTAAGATAAGATGGCAAGTGCTTTGGCCAATGTAGCTCAGCCTACTAGTAACAGTTACCACCACTTTCCTGGGAATCAGGCCACAAATTGCCACTTGAATGATCTCCAGCCAGGTAGTCTGGCATCTTGCTAGTTTGAAGGCTTCCTGCCCCTTTGGCAGGCAGATGGTGTGCATTTGCTGGGGAGGCATGTAGTTCTCCAGCCTCCTGGTCTGGGAAAGGTTAAGTGTCTGAGGATCTGATGTGGGTGGGATCAGGGTGTCAGCTTCGTACCTTGTTGCAGGGAGAGGGGGAAGGTGCTCCTAGGCTGGGAGCACAACTATACCTTGGCCTTCTGCAGCACGTTCCCTTTGTTGGTAGGAAGGAGGGAAGGACTCCTCTTCCTCATCTCTGCTGCGCAGTTAACAGGGACCAAGTGCTCTGGTGCATTCCCATTTGGCTTATTTCCAGTCTCCTGTAGAAGGGGAAAAAACAAATGTTTAGAGACCCAGGGAGCTGTGACAGCAGGAGATGGGGATGCAATGAGAGACACCAGATTGTAGCACAAATTGGCAGCTTCCCCATGTATCAAATGAGCATTAACCATCCGGTAAGGGGCAGCTGGGCAAGCTAAACTGCAACAGGCAGTGGCAAGGCTGTGTGGGGAGCCCAGGACTGAAATAACTGCAGGTCAGTTCTTAGGTGCCTCAGGAGAACAAAGGAGAAGTCACCTGGACTTAAATGGCCTAAGAGGAGGACAGTGAGGATGCAGGACTTCCTCAGCTTCAAGGTTGGCAAAGCACAGGGGAAGGTGCAGTCTCAAGACCAAAGTGAGTCTAGTTGTATCCCTGCACTTCCCACCTGCTGTAGTCACAAGCCAGCAGCAAAAGGAGTCATCCTAGCTCTGCCCCAGTGCAGCATAAGTGCCCCAGCCTGTGGATGGATGAATGGATGGATGGTAGGTAACATCTCCATACCCCATTTTCGGCCTTGGTGGTCACAGCTAGCCCCAGAGCAGGCCCTCCAGCTAGCGACTGTTTCAGCCTGTCCTTCACCTCTGTCAGCTTGAGCTCCAGGTCCACACGTCGCTCCTCCTTCCCCTTGCATTGCTCTTCCAAGGCCACAATGTGCTCCTCCAGCTCCTTCAGCTTGTGCCCTGCTCCCAGCACAAAGAAGATGGGTCAGGTCCCATCAGTTCAGAGATGCCTGGAGGTTGCAGGCTGCAAAGGGGGTTCAGAGGTGGGTCTGATTCATCCCTCCCCACCTGAAGATCTGAGTATTTCATTTCTGGGTGGCAAGGAGGGTTGTGGTCCCAGCTGGGGATGCTCTAACACTTCTGTCTAGGTCTGTTTCTAGTATCATAGTACTTATTCTAGCCGTGCAGGGCAGCAGGATCCTGCCTTTGCTAGGATTTATTAGGAGCTGGTTTTCTGCTCTGACTTTTCAAGCTCAGGAACTGAGTGGGAACCAGTTACACCCACTTTGCTGGGGAGTCGCTCATGTTTTGGTCACTAGGTGACGCTGTTGGTCAAGGGTTGCGGCAGCAATTCCCAGCAGTGGAAGCAGCAGTCTGCTCCAGCCTGTGCTGACTCAGCTCTGCCACTGGCACTTCGCATCTGACCTAACTGTGTGGAAAGAAATAGCCATGTTGGCAGAGGGCTTAAAGCGAAGCCCCAGCCTGAGAGGGGGAAAAGCCAGGAACAAAGAGTGTGAGGAACAGCTCCAGAGCAGAGCAGTGCTGAGGTTGGACCAACTGGGAGTCAGCACTGCCCAATCTGGAAGACACAGGCCCAGAGGGAGTTGGGTTGCTGCCAGGTATAACCTACATGGGACTGGGGTCAGGAGCGGGAGCTTACTGGCAACTGTGCACCCAGCTGGCAGAACTGCCTGCACAATCAGGCACCCCAGGGATGAGGAGCTGGTAGGGGAGGCCTGTGAGGAGGTTCTGCAGATGCAATGCCAGAGCTGGGAGCAGGACTGCTGTTGGGGAAGATGTTTGCAGGTCAGGCTTGGCAGGACTAGATGGAGGACACATGCAGCCACCCTGACTGTTGGGCATGAACAAGCTGTGCCCAGATGGAGACCACAATCTCCTTGCACACAGGGGTGAGGAGCAGCTCAGAAGATGTGTGTTTCCTCTCCTGCCTGGTGCTGCAGCTGGCCCATACCTGTGCTGCTCTTCATGGCTTCCCGGAGCTCCCGCTTTTCTTTCTTTAGGGCCACCAGCTCATTCCTGATAGAGGATTTCTCCTTCTCCAGCTTCTCCTTCTCTGTTAGAAACCTCCTGGCATCCTCCTCAGCCCGGTTCTTCCCATACCTGTACTGGTTGGCATCTGCAGAGACCAGGATGCTGGCTGTCAGGTGAGGGGCTTAGGGTTGGCACAATGGTCTCTGCCTCTGTAAGGGACAACTAGGACACCAGCTCAGGAAGGCAACAACAGGACTTACCTGGGATGAACCAGGTCAGCTCAGAGAGGCTGGACAAGGACACGGCAGGAAGGATGACTTCCTGAGCAAAAGTCAATATGCCAGCCCTCCCCTCTCCCAGATGGCACTGGGGTCCTGTTTGGGTGCTATGCAGATTAGGTTGAAATGAGTGTCTTGGTCCCACACCTGCTGGCTTCGGTCAGGCAGTAGGTGCTGGGGAGAAGCTGAAGATCTCCCCATCTCCAGGGTGCTACTTTGGCTCAAAGCTTATTCCCATAGCAGGTGCCTGAAAAGTAGCTCAGGTGGGAATTGAGAGCACCACACCTGTTTTGCACTCACTCCCTATGTGGGTTCTTCCCCTGGCTCAGAGTGCCTCTGTGTGGTTTAACTTAGTCTGCTCTGGAAGCAGATGGAAGCTGCACTGTGTGTGCCAGATAAGCAGTTGCTAGGTGTTGGTACAGATATTACTGGTAGTTATTTTCCTCCATGTGCAGACAGGCTGTGAGAGGCAGGGGCTCTTTGAGCTTCCCCCCCGTTGCATCCTACCAACATGCCAGACACTGGCGAGTTGAAAGAGCACACCCAGTCCTGGGCCTGTCAGACTGATCTGATGGTCAGCCCCAGCTGGGACAATGCTGGAGTCAGGTGGCCATCTCTCCTTTAAGGACCAAACTAAGACCCCACTTCATCTTACTGAGACCTTGAACAGGCAGCAGATGGAAATGACTCTCAGCTGCAGTGACTTGGGGCTAAAGAGGACCTGTTGACTCCAGATGGCAAGCTTCAGCCCCTGATCCATCTGACACCCTCCCACAGGAATAATATCTGGATCCACAGCCCCAAACTTACTCGATGCGTGTCTCTTTACTTTGACTTGTGGGTCCACACGACGTGACTTCTCACTACAGGAGGAGGCATGACGCTTCACCTGTGCCCCTGAGGGCCGTGGCAGGTCCTCAGGCTGGACAGAACAGAGACGGGTGGACACACTGAACTCATTTGCATGGATAGTGCAGCTCACTGATGCTGGACAGGAGCTGGAAGTCTGTACCCAGGGCTGTGTGACTGCCTAGGAGTCATGGCCCCTCAGCATGCCTGGGGTAAACAGGGTCCTTTCCCTCCCTAGAATTGTCCTTTGGAGGCCACAAGATGGAAGGTGGGTAAGGAAAAGTTGGACAGAGCATGATCCAGTCTTACCTGCACCTTTTCATAGGGAACGTCATCATACACCACCCGGGACAAATCAGTCTGGCACTCATGGGAAGAGCTGGCCCACCTGGGGAAACAGAGGTGGAGGCAGAGCACATTAGCCAGCATCTTCCCTTCCAGAACAGCAGAAACTCTTCAGTCTCACCTAGCCCCTTCTATCCATGGAGCTCAAAGCACACTGAAGGTATTCATGACTTCATAGCCTAGCCTATGCAGCATGCCAGCAATTTCCAGACTACTAAAAGCAGAGAGCTTCTTCAGCAGATCTCTCCCCACTCCTTTAGACCTTACAAAGGCCTAGCATCTTACATTTACAGGTCTCCTATAACTTGCAAAGCAGGTGCCCCACACGTAGAGGAACGCTGGAGTAGATGTGATCCTGTCTCAGCAATGAGGTACTGAGAGATGCAATGACTTATTCCAGTTCCCAAAGCAAACCCCAAATTCCCAAGTCCCACTCTGGGTCTCTAACTATTTGGTAGCTTGTAGAAGGCATACATAGCTTGGAGCCCCACAAATCATAACCCCAGATCTACTGGCCCTGTGGCATATCCCTTCTTCCCTACTTACTGATACTGAGGGTTAGGATGCTTTGGAGGCTGTGGGCACTGCCTTGGGGCCCTCAAATTTGGCAGCAAAGAAACAAGAGGTCCTCACCATGGATGACTTACCAATAGCCTTAAAAAAGATGTACTCTACAAGGCCCAGCCAGAGCAGTAGTGGGTGGGGCAAGCCTTGGCCAATGTGGGATCCTATAGGGAGGCCCAGCCATGCTGTCCTAAAGAGTAGGGGTAGGGTGAAAGAGGGAGCCCCTTACAGATAGGAGTGTCTCACGGCAGTGACTATGTTGGCAATTGTCTCGACATCCACGTAGTCATAGTGCAAGGCCTCTGGGGTTGTCTTTGAGCCAGTCTCAACCAGCAGAAGGCCAAGCCAGCGGCCGAGATCTTCAGAGCAGTTTGCCTGGGGAGGGTGAGAGAAGCATACCATGGCCTCCAGATCTGCCTCAGCTCTCTCCAAGAAGCATTAGATAATCTTAATACTTGTGAGCATAAGGAATGACAGGGAATTATTCTTTCTTATTCTCCTTGAATTGGATCTCCCACACAAACTCTGTGACACCATCCCACACAAGAAAATGCATGCTTTAGTAACACACGCCACACATGCACATTGAAATAGGGTTGGTTGTCTTGAGATAAAGTGTTTGTAGAAAGAAGCTGGGAAAAGTTAATCTCCCTAGTGAATCTCTCATGTACCTGAATCCACATCAAATTCCCACTCCAATTCAGACCCCATCATGAGAGCAACTATAGGAGTCAAATGTCTTCGCTTGTCCCATTCACCCAATTCAGCAGTCTCTCTGCATCAATTCTATAAATGCCTGGGTAGCTGCTCTATATTCATTTAGACCCCAAGTAAAATAATTCAATGAATTTCATCAACAAGGAGGAGAAAGGAGATTATGAAACAAATTAACAGGGACAACCCATGCATGTATGGTTTAATCAACCACGGGATAAAAAATTCACATCTCTTAAGGGATCCTACAGAGATAAAGATTTAAAGAATCCAACTCCTTTGCTTGTGGCAGGAGTAATGACGTTGATTATTAATGTACAGGCTCATTTCCTCATCAACTCATCTGATCTTTTGCTTTTGGTTGATCTCATGCATGCTTAGCAAATTTGTAGATGACACCAAGTTGGGTGGAACTGTGGACACTCCAGAGGGCAGGGCTAGGATCCAGAATGGCCTGGATAGACCGGAGAAATGGTCCGCAGTCAACCAGATGACATTCAACAAGGACAAGTGCAACATTCTGCACTTGGGACAGAATAACCACATGCACAAATACAGACTGGGGATTCAATGGCTAGGCTGCAGTACTTCAGAGAAGGACCTGGGGGTTACAGTGTACCATAAACTGAATATGAGCCAACAGTGTCCTCTTATTGAAAAAAAACCCATCAGCATCCCGGGTTGTATAAACAGGAGTGTCACTTGCAAATCAAGTGAAGTGACTATTTTCAGCACTGGTGAGGGCTCCTCTGGAGTACTGCATCCAGTTTTGGGCCCCACACTTTAAGAAGGATGTGGACAGTTTGGAAAGAGTCCAGCACCTGGCAACAAACATGGTCGGGGGCCTGAGAGGCAAGACTTATGAGGAAAGGCTGAAAGAACTAGGGTTATTTCGTGTGGAGAAGAAAAGACTGAGGGGGGATTTGATAAGTCTTCAAATACCTGAAGGGTGATTATAGAAAAGATGGAAATAGGCTTTTCTTTGTGGCTGTAGGGGATAGGACTAGGAACAACTGCCTCAAGCTGCAGCAGGGGAAATTTAGGTTGGAGATTTGGAGGATCTTTCTGATTATGAGGTGGGGCAGGCATTGGAGCAGGCTACCTAGAGAAGTTGCACATTTTCCATACTTGGAAACTTTCAAAGGCAGGATAGACAGACACTTGTCTGGGATGGTTTAGTCAGGGATGATCCTGCCTTGAGCAGTGGGCTGGACTAGATGACATTGAGAGGTCCCTTCCAGTCCTACTTTCTCATGATCCCATGCAGAGAAACTCAACTAATCCACTTCACTTTTTGATCTGCTCCATATTGCTTCTCTGTTCCATGCGCTAACCCCACATGGTTGTCTCAAGTGTCAAAGCACAGTAGGGGAAGGGCTAAACTGGATGATCTGTGGAAGTCTCGCTTTAAAATCTAGGACATTTCCCTGTTTAGCTCGAGGTTTGTTGTAACCCTTGAGGAAACAGCAGCCCAAGCTTTGGGCCCAACCTCTACTCCTTGAATGAGGCAGGGAATGCTTCCTTCACCCCTCCAGGCCTCAGAGTATGAATGCTCACCTCCAAGGCAGAGACTTCCTGGCCATTTCGAAGGATGCGGAAAGCAAATGGGTGCTTGGGGCCCAGCCCTGGAACCACCTCACAGCCGCAGAGGACGACAGCGTTCACGTGTGTGCGTAAATCAGTGCGGTCCTTGTGGAAATAAAGGGTGTTGCCTTTTAAGCGACACCAGCGCTCCTTCCAGCACTGATTAACCAAGACGTTCAAATAACCTGCAGGGAGAGCCAGATCCCAGACAGAAGTCAGCATCTCAGTCAGTGCCTAACTGGCTGGACCTAATTAACTGTCATGCATGAGGTAGAGAAGAAGGCGGGTAGTAAGAGGCGCCCGGGGGTGTTTTCTGGAGGCACCAATCATGCAACTGAAAGGTCATCTGCTCTCACTCTATCAGTCTGAAGTGCTGCTGTGCTGCTACTGCTGTGCCTGTCAGCAAATCACTGCAGGTCTCCCTACCTCTGCCATTCACTCTTAACAAACCTGTGGCAGCTATTTCCTCACAATAATTTCTTCAGCAGTAAAAGCCCTACTGCAAAACTCCATGAGGTGTCTGGACGCTCCCTCTGTGTGGAGATCTTCCAATTAGAAACACAAAGCCATTAGTCACTGGGCCCTCCTGCTTGGTCGTTACTGAGATCATGCTCAGGAAAAATCTCCCTGAAGCCAGTAGGTTTGCAAAGTGTTTCTACATTTGGGCCACAGAAATGGAGTCTTGAAATTCAGAAGCAACAGCAAAATCCTCTGCAATCTGGATAGCAGCCTCTCCCTCCCACTCTACCCTTTCCACTGGGGCAGAGGAGGACCTGTCACCAAGTCCCAAGGCAAACTTCCCTCTAGACTCAGTTCACCAGGAGTCCCTGTTTGTGCTCCAGTCACCCTCTCCTATCAGTGTGGTACAAACCACAGCATGGGATGTCCTCCTCAGTGGAGGAGGTCTGTGTGTCCTCAGGAGATGCCTTCTTCTTGGAGAAGCTGATGATCCTGGTAATCTTCTTCCCAGCTGCACGGCTCACCGAGCCCTTCAGTTCAGCCAAACCACTCTTCTTGCCTTTCCCTGGGAACAGGATGGAGTGCCAGCTCAGGAGAGGGCATCTTGAAAGCCAGCCAAAGCACTGCCTACCTCAGGCAAGAGCAGTTTTTCAGGGGCTGGGACAGTTGCATGTTGGAGATATGCTGATAGGAGCTAGAGCAGGCCATTCTCAACTCCCAACAACTCTTGTACATTGGGACAACAGAGTTCCCATGACTGGTGTGGAGGGAAAACTCAGGGATGGGGCTGCCCACAGCTCTGTGGAAGGAGCCTCCTATTACCAGCCATGCAGCAGGGCCTAATGGCACTAACAAAGAGTGTGTGAGCAGGCCAGCCCCTTCCCATGTTCCAGCAGCTAATGGACACCACTGAGTTGAGGGGAAGGGAGGGAGGGCTGTTTCTGCAGCTGCAGAGGGGCTGGTGCTCTCACCATGTTCTCGGGGCTCCCTCCGGGCCAGCGGTGAGCAGTTTTCTCCTGTCACCACACTGTCTGAGTCAGAAGTCTGTTTGTCTTGTGATAACCTCTGTGGCGAAAAGGCAAGCATAGATCAATGCAGGTCATGGGGATCCTGATGGTAGCAGCTACCTACCTCAACACAACACCCAAAGAGCTTTAACCCTTTCAGTGTGAGCATGGAATGACCACCATCGATGACAGCTCTGCAAATGTGACAGGCTCCCAGTAGCCTCCACCGAACACAGCAGAACAGGAAGGGTACATGCCCCAGGCCACTAGAAGAGTTTGCAACTCCAGCTCAGGCCGATCTTGGATGTTCTTTGAGGGTGCATTCAGGAAGCCTTTCACCACCTACTGCCATGCAATGCAGGAAAGCAAGCCTGCTCTTTAGCACTTCAAACCTCAGTCTTGAGACCCCCTGACTCCCAGTCCTTCAGTCGCTTTGACATCAGGGTAGGTGTACTTCCCTCCTCACCCAGTCTGACCAGCAGCACAATTTGGATAGGGGAAGAGAGAAAACAGGTTACCTTGTCCAGGTCTGTTTTGCACAGTACAGGGGATGTAGGGGCCTCGGTCCCTCCTGCGTTGGGGCTGCTTGCTTCCTTTATTGCCTGTGACAATGACAAAGCCTCTTAGCAACAGCATCTCAGGACCCCTTTCAACTGAATGAAGTCCAAGACTGGCCACACTGCCATGGTCTGACCAGAGCAAATGGCAGTTTGGGATTAGTGACCATAATCCCTTCTGAACAGCTGCAGGGAGTAACTGGCACATTTCTCACTGGAAAGTCTCCTCTAAAAAACTTCCTCTGCCCAGTCTCACTTGACTTGCACTTAATGAATAGGGTAGCCATGGAATGAACTGATTGAAATACGTCTCAGATTCCCATTTACAGTCCCAAAGAAAGAAGTCAGAGTAGAGTCTAGCCAGCTGACCTATGAGGCTTTAGTGGCAGACAGACTGAACCACTACGCTAATGTGGCTTCTATCAGTTTAAGAATGCCTGAACATAAATTCTTCTTCCAACACTGTCAGAAAGGGAAGTGCTATTACTCTGGTTATACAGATGGGCATAGAGGGCGTGTCTATACATGCATTTAAATGTGCCAAAATTGAATGTGCATTAGCTTAATGTGCATTAAGCAGGTTTAAGCTGACGTCTACATGTGAAGGCATTAAAGTGCATTAACACTGTGTGTGGACTGATTTGGGACTAACTTTAGTCTCAAGTCAGTCCACATACACAGCATTAATGTGATTTAATGCATCTACATGTTCATTAATGTGCTTTAACTATTCGTGCCTACATTTGATATCTGCATTTGCAGGCATCAAATTTTGACGTGAATAGCCTAAATTCTCCATTTTAAAACACATTAAGGGTGCACACATGCAGACACATGCCCTAATGGGCTTAAATTTAGGCTAATGCACCTTAAAGGGTCTCATGTAAACATGCCCTTAGAGACTACGTCACTTGCCAAAGGTTACATAGGAAGACTGCAGCAGAGCAGGAATGGGAACCCAGGATGCCTGAAGATACATGCAAAGTTTGTCAGGCTGGGCTGGGACAATGGCGAGACTGGCAGACTCCCATCAGGACCCACCCTGCATGAGGGCAGTCTTTCCTGAACTACTTCAGTTTGCCTGTGAAGCAAAGTACTCAAAAATCGTGATCAGAACTTCCATGCTGAATCAGCCTGGAGATGTGCACAGAGTTCCCTCTCTTCCCCAATCCAGCGCTTAAATGCAGGTCCATTTGCTATCCAGGATGTGATGGCACCAGTTGATCCACACTGCACTGTAATGGGGTGGGATAGAGAGGGAGATCTCTGGCAGGAGTGGCACACCAGTCTCGCAGCAGTTGATCACCCTATCCTAGCAGATTTAAGGTGAGTAGGGTCAGGGGTTGTGGCTCCCTGGGGTAGAGGTGGTGGTGCTGCTTAATACCCTTATTTCATGTCCCTTCACACACTGTCAGCTCAGACACAGAGTTAGTGACTTCCCCCTGCAGCTTCCCACATACAGGCCAAGCTACCCACCCTCCTTCATCCAGAACAAAGGCAGGAAAAGGGGGGAGGGCAAGAGGAGGCCCTCCCTCATAGCCTGTGTGACTCCTGGCTATCAGAGCCAGTGGAAGGAGAGGACACTGCCTGGGCAGGCTGTGCTGACTGGAGAGCTCTCCTCACAGCTGGAGCCCCAGCTAGACAGGGGTGATAAGAGATGTGAGGAAAGCCCTCTTCCCCATCAAGATAAGGCAGCATGGAAACCCTGGCCTTTCCCATGGGAGCCAGCCACCCTGCCTACTACTGGTTTCAGACAGGGATTATGGGAACCAAGCTACATGCAGAGATGACAGCATCAGAGCCAGGAGGATTCACTGGAAAGGTTCCTATAACACAGAGCTGGTGACGGTCCCTCAACATCACTGAGCCAGTGACACGAGGCAGAGACAAGGGTATAAGCTGGTGCTGCAGCCAGAGGTACCTTCAGCCACTCCTCAGCCTGCTCTTTGCTCTGTACTGCCAGCACCAGGGCCTCGGCCCCTGGCAGGGAGAAGCGCAGCTCGTGCTTCTTGCGGCGTCCATCCTTGGGCACATAGATGACGTTGCAGGCGCTCAGGGGCACCTCTAGGTGTGGCTGCCGATCCTTGGAGCTTTTGTAACACTAGAAAAAGAAGATGCAATAGTTATGCTTGCAGTGGAGACCAGCCTGTATCTTCTGCCAATGCTATGGGGATATGGGGAGAGGGAGCATGTCAGCCCAGTGGGGAACATCTCTGCCCAGGTTCTGGCCATCTCTTATATGAAGCATTATCTGAGACCCCAAAGCAGTTTACAGAGATTGCAAAGTTACAGTACTTTCATATGACTGCTCCTCAGTTTCCCAACTGGGATAGGAAGAGTGACTCAGCTTAAGTCACAGAGGAATGGAGGAACAGAACCCAGGAATCCCCACTCCTCTGTCCTTCTCCTACCAAGACCACAAGTCCTCTCAGAGCCAGCACAGAACCTGAGGCATCCAGCATCCTACTGTGTGGGCTGTGCTGTGCTCTGGGAAATGCCTTTAACCTGCCTTTCAAACTTTGTCCATCATGGCTGGCATGATGGTGTCAGGTAGTAAACACTCAGGTGAACCCTGATGGCTTCTGCTTGGAGACCTGGGCTATGGGTCTTGCAGGGGGCAGAGTTATTTTGCACAGCATATGTAGGTTTACATATATGACCTTACAACATCATAGAGATTCCCAAAATCTGGCTTACACCTGCAGAGATGATACACAGGAGACAACCCTACCTTTTGCTCTTCATCAGGTGGTTAGACAAGCTTGGCAATTCCCCTCCAAAGTTAATCCCAGCTCTGGTGCTCTCAAGCTGAAGCCAAAGGCCGCTCCAACTCCACATGATGCGGCCACCTTTCTTCAACCTAAACCCTCCCTGAAACCCCGCTGCATAGCCCAGTGCTCAGCCCACTGCAGCCTCACCAGGAGTCTATTTTCCTTGATGACCGTCAGCTGCTTGGCCCACTGCCCAAAGCGCTTCTTGCGCAACAGGAAAGCACAAATCCTGCAGTCCTTCACCAGGTTCATGGAAGCTTCCTCTGATGGCCACTGGTGTGTCAGCTGCTGGCCCTTCCCTTCCTCCTCCTCCTCATCATAGGACTCATAGGAGCTGCTCATTGCATCAGAGTCATTGTCTAGAAGAAAGCATAAAAATCTCAGTCACCCCAGGATACCACCGAGAACAGAGCTCCAGTGCCTTACATCCAGAGTGGGACTCCAGCCCAGAGGTTTCCCTCTCTAAGCAGTTCTTGGGGAGACAAAATTAGAGGGAGAGACTCAGGGTCAAACTTGGAACAGAAGCAGTGACACTGAGTTTCCATTTCCCCCAAGTTACTTTCCAAGTCCACCCATAGTGCTGGGAGGCCAAGTGCCAGGCCTACTTGGACAAAAGGTCCCTCTGTCTGAGCCAGTGGACTGGCTTAACAGATTCCAGGTTTGCGAGCATCTGACCAAAAGCTGCAAGGCTGAGAACTAGCCAGCAAAGTCATTTCTTCTCTGTGAAGTGGGGGGATCTCACACACTAACACTTCTGCCCTGACCCTCCCAAATATGGCCTGGGACAGCAACTGCACATTATGGAACATGTCACTGTTTTTATACTATGTGCCAGTCTATTCCCTGCACATGGGAGTGGCTCCCTGAAGGTTTGCAGAGCAATGGAGGAGCTGGCCAAGTGGGAACAACTGCCTACTCCTGAGAGCAAAACCCACCAGGAACATCTCTTCCTGAAGTTGGGGTCTGTGGTTGGTGCCAGAAGAGCTTCACAGTGAGAGGACCTATACATTGGCCAGTGTTACCCTAAGCCTCTTCCAAGTTGTTGAGGATGGAGTCAGATGCAGGGACAGGTCCAGATTCCTAACCTGCTTGGACATTTATTACATAGATGAGGCAGGAAGGGCTGTAAACAACCTCATCTGCAAGAGAAGCCTTCAGTCTTAGATGGAGATTCTCGTTCCTAGAGAATCAATGGCTTCTCCAAGCACAGCAAGAAAGGTCAAGGCTTGATAGCCCATGTTAGAGGTACCATGCATGCCAGGAGTTGCCAACTGCCAATATCCAGCTTTGCCCAAGTGGCTAGTGAGGTGGGGTCCTGAAGAGCAACTGTTTTGGGGTGTGAAAACTGGATGAGGAAAGTCCCAGCCCCTGAGCTGTCCGTAGATGGATTTTTTTCCACTGCAGGGGAAGGGCTAGTTTGTCGTTAGTGTATTGCTTCTGGCAGGGGTTCCCAGAGCAGCAGGTGCCCACTCTTTCCATGGGGGCTAAGTTGCAGTAAATGAATAGAGGGCCTGGCTCTTCCTCACTCCTCCAATTCATCTCTGCAACATCCACCTATGAAAGTCCTGGAGCTCTGTGGTCGACCATAGGTTGTGTGTGCCCCTAGGTAACTTTGCCTCATGGTAGGATTCCCCATCTCCAGGCCACAGCTCATCCCCTCTGCATTTGGCCTAGTTCATGCTGGGTTCACTCCTGCCCCGTGAGAGTGGCTATCTTGAAGAGGCTCTGCTCTGCTACCTACAGGAGTTTTTCTGCTCCCCATTCACCCTGGTAACGGGGTAGTTGCTGTCCGCATCCTCATAATAGCCATCCTCGATTGAGTTGGGGGGACTGGAACTATCTGCAGAGAAAGTAGAGAATACATCAGGCTTTCAGTAAAGAATACTCTAGCTCAGGGTACTAATGGGGCACAGTGGATCATCAAAAGGCTTCATCTGAGGGCTTTGCTGAGCTAAACTAGGCCAAGCCTTGCTGCTCGCATTAGCTCCAGCTCAACAGCAGGGCCAGCCTCAGAGAATTAGACATGCCTGCAGTTACTGGCAGAGGTGAAGTATGCGTGACCCAAAAAGGACACAGAACTTTATGGACAGGACCTCTGGAAGAGCCTCAGCCCCAGAAGCCTCCCCCTCTCTTCCCCACCTGCTCTGTGACAGCCACTAGACACCACAGCCCCTGACAGGAAAGATGCTGTGTGGGCGCTGCCAAGTGACACATTTTGGGGCCCCAGCCTGGGAAAAGTTCTCTGGCATCCAGCTCCTTTCTGAAAACTTCTCCAAGGTCACTGCCACTCTGAAGGAAGCTCAGCACACCCCTCCTTCAGGGACTGTTCCTGGGAGTCCTTCAGCCTCCTCCCTTGGCTGTCCCTCATATAGACAAAACTCAGCCCTACGCACCCAGCAGCTGGGATAGGAGGGAGGCAGAGGCCGAGGCACTGAATACCCCAGCATTTCCTGTGAAGTGCCAGAGCCCCTAATCAAGCAGCTCCACACGGAGTAGCTCAGGGATCCCTCTCTCCTACAAGGCCCCACATTCAGGATAGGATACGATTCCCTTGATGCACCTGTATGGTCATTCTCAAGCTGACCAGCCACCAGCACTACTGACAAGTCACCCTCAGTGATCGACCTCTTCATTTTCTCCCCACACAGCAGGAGCTTGGTTTGGCATTGGGGAAGATACTGCAAATGAAATCCATTGACTGCTGCAGATGAAAGCTGCTTCACATTGAGTCCCTTGTCTCCAGCCAGCTCCCTGTGCTCCCTGAGCCATTGCACTGGCTGTGGGCGAGCATCTTCTCTCAGGCTCTGAACATCCCCAGTCACTTAGTTCTGACCCCTGCATCAAAGCAAACCTCTTCCTATCACATAACTGTGGGATAGGAGGAAGCAGGGAGAGGAGCATCACTGCCCCCATGCTACAGCACTGCCTTCCCTGAGCTAATGAGGAGCCCGGTGCGAGGCTCTGAAGAAGGTCCCTTGTCTACTATGTCAAAATCAGGGCCCTGCAGCTGCAGAAACATGCCAGGCCCAGCTGACTGAGTGTTCTCAACCCTGCTCCCCGTCTACACAGCGTTCAACTTACTGCGGGAAGTGATGTACTCTGGGGCCTTTCCAGGGCCCAGAGGCAGGGCCTCCTCATAGTAATCTTCAGGTGGAGGGGTGGTGGGAAGTGGGGGTGGAGGGTCCCCAGGAGCCTACATGAGATAGAGAGACCAATGTGGATTAGTCATGCAGAGGGAAATGGGGCAGGGCTGAGCTACAGGCCTGTCAGGGTGTTCAGAGAACCGTCAATGAGAGCTGTCACCATAATAACCAGAAAGGAAACCCCAGTCCCCGTCATCCCTCTGGATCTGCCCCCCTGGATGTTTGCTATACTCTTCAGGATGGAATTTGCTGGCTTCTCAAAGCCTGAGTGGTTCACACTGAATGATCCACTTTCAGAGGCAGTGAACTGGCTTTTGATTTGCACCCTTACTTGGCAAATACTCCAAAGCTGCTGGTACCTTAATGATGAATATGACTAAGCCTTCTTTGGGCATTCTTCCAGAAAGGTGTTGATCAGGACTGAAGAACGCCAGGGTGTCCAAGGAGGAGAATATTCACCCCCAAAACACACTTTTGACACCCCAGCCTCTAATCTCCCTTCCCTACCATCTCTACCCTGGCCATGGTCCCAACACCAACCCAACATGGATTGTGCACCACAGGACAAGAGCCACTTTCAGCCAGCAGCTACATGGTTTCAAGGGGAGCCATGTGCCCTAAAGGGGAACTAGGTGGATCCACACCTGGGATGATGCTGGATTCTCCTGAATTTAAAGCTGCACTGGGTAGGAGATGCACCAAATAATTGCCTGCCCCAGCCCTTATGAGCTTTTATGATTGTGCTGGACTGAGCAACTGTTTACGAAGCACAAGACCCAGCCGCACAAGGCAGGAGTTGCCTGAGAGCACAGAATGTGACAGCATGGCTTTTTCCAGTCACAGGCAAGCAGCACCATCCAACACAAAACACAAGTCACATCCACTCCATTTGGGATTCAACCTAGCTTCAAAACAGTATTCTTCTTTTGACTTTCACTTTTCTTGCTTCCCTTCTAAAACTTAGCACCTAAGCCTAAAGGTTTATCTGGTATTGAGTCCAGCTTTGTGAACTCTGCAACCCTTCATCTTTCACTGTTGCTGCCTCTTGGGCCTTGGCTCCATACCAAACGCAGCAGCCCGGGGCATTTCGATATGTGGAGTCACAGCATCAGTCTTGCCACTGGACTACAACCTCAGAGTCCAGCCACAGGGGTATCACTGGCCTGAGAGACTAAGTCTTGTCAGAGTCAGCATAAGGACCTACCAATGGTGAGGGGCACTCAGAGGTGGCTGGACTCACATTTTTGACTGGCTGACTCCTTGCAAGGTCCAAGCCGATGCCCACACCAGTGTCTCCATCCTCCTCCTGCATGTCCTGGAGATCCTGCAGGTTGCAATCTGGAAAGTATTGGAGTTGTGAGGCCAAGCAACACTGCAGCACCAGAAACCAGGCTTGTCAGACAGACCTTCAAGACAGCTTTCCTCTTTAATCTCACAGCCCTAGGCACAAAGCCACTCCACCCTACTGCCCCTTATCAGTCATTCGGCTGCCACAAGAATGTTATCTATCAGCTGTGCAGTATCACAGCAGTGCTATAAATGTAGCCAGCTGTGGAGTCCTACAGGCCCTTTCCTATCTGGGTGCTTCCAAGTGCTACATGGAACAATGGGCTCAACTTTGGGCAAGGGTGAAGAAATAAAACAGATCCATGTGACAGCCATAATTCACACTCAGTTTTGGGCAGCAGGTCACAGGAGCTTTCGCAGGAACTTTACTGAGTGTCAATGTCTGTTGTTACATTTGGTTTTTACCCTGCTTTCTCTACCATTGTCCCAGCAATTTTAATTGCCATTTGGGCATGTGATGCAGAACAAATTTAGGGTAATGGGTGGTCCAGAGGTCAGGGCTTCACCAGCCGTGCTGACAGAGTTTGTGCTGGGTGACGCCAGAATCCTGGGCCGGGATAGGACCTCATGGCCTTCTTGGCCAGAGGAAGTTGTGCCAGTTCAGCTGCATGGCCATCAGGGATTGAAGGATTCTCCAAATAGGAGGTGATCAGCTGGTACATACCAAACTCTTCAAAGAGGGACTCCACAAAGCTGGTGCCATTGTGCAGGGTCTCTGTATTCACGTACATATAGTCCACATTCTTCCCTGCAAGCGATGAGTAGGGGAAAAATTAAGCCAACTTCTGAACATGGGGACAGGGAGGCCAGCACACAGATCTCTCTTTGTTGGTGGTCCACTCCCCAGGCAGTCACACACCCCACTCCCTGGAAATCAGCAGGGAACCCAAGGGACCACTGCACCTAGAGATAACCATGCATGGCGTGGTTAACCTGCAGCACCTGTCACAGTGACCCCTGGCACCTAAGGGCAGCAGGCAGAGGACAGGGAGAGAAATGGCTCTGCAACCCCAGCAGGAAAGAGGTGGGGAAGCAGGAGAGCACCAATGACGCATGACAAGCACAAGGAAACAGAGGGAAAAGCTACGATCTCCAGCTCAGTGAGGCCCCTGCTGAGAGATGTTCCAGAGGAAATGGAGTCTCCAAGCGACACTTCCACTCTGCCCAGGTGCTGGGGGAGGAAGCAGTGAAGCTTCCAGGTATGGAGCTGCTTTGCCCTTCCCATGGAAATCCTCCCCCCACTCAGCAGAGCCGGGTAGCAGGAAAGCCCGTGGGAATGAGCGTTTCGACAGGAAACGCCAAGCAACTCCAGTCCAATCACAACATGGCCACACGCCACAGGCCCCATTCCCTGGGCTGGGCTTGTTTGCACAGGACCCAACTGGTGTTAGTGCTTCACGTGCCAGGCAGCCTGACGTACACATGCTGCGTAACTCCGGTGTGCGGCAGCTGGGGCGAGGGGAAGGGAGGCCCCCGGGAGTGCTGCTGCTGCAGCAGAGGCCTGCCAGGGGTTATACAGTTGATTAGCACTGAAAGGAGATGAAGCACGGGTTTCAGCCCTGAATCCAGAGGCACTTGCCCCCTAGAACATGGGAGCTTTCTGCCCCAAACTGCCTGCAGCTCCCATTGCAAAGCAAGTGAAATAGCGATAACTGATAAGAGAGTTCATTCATGTCCGGAGAGCCTGGATAAATCAGGAGACAAGAGCAGCTGGATCTTGCCAGCTATATTGTTTTATACCTGCACCTCTGCTACTCAAGGTCAGCTGGAGGACTTCCTTGGCATGAATGTGCCACCAGAGGGAGTCAGGAGCCTCTGTCAGTAAGGGGGGCAAGGCAGGCAGCACAGCAAGTGTCAGTCTCCAGGGAGAGATCAGAAGCAGGCGGGGAACCTGGGGGCTCCAGCTTCTCAGCTGAAAGCTCTGCCAGGCGGGGCCTAAGGGAGCAGCAATGCTAGTTCGTTCCTGCCAGGGCAGAGAGCTGTTCCCCCTGCCGCCTTCCTGAATTGCATCCCCATCTGATTGTCTTTGCAATGGATGTCCGAAGCAGCAGGTTCTGCAGCTCGCATGCTGGTCACTCTGAAGTCCCTGGCAGCTGCAACCAGTCCAGGCAGTGTCACTACAGCAGGGGTGGGCAAAATGTGGCCCAGGGGCCAGATGCAGCCCGCCAGGCCATTCAACCCAGCCCGCAGGGACCCTAAAAATTTAGGGAATTAATTAATCTGCCCTGGGCTGCCTGTCATGTGGCCCTTGATGGCTTGCCGAAACTCAGTAAGTGGCCCTCTGCCCAAAATAATTGCCCACCCCTGCACTACAGCCTCCACGGGCAGTGACACTCTTGGCTGCTCACCAGAGATTGTCCCTAGCGGAGAGGACCACTGATCCTCCCTTCCCCCAACCCAACCCCACAAGATGCCAGACTTAGACATACAAGTCCTTTAGAAGCCGCTCCTCACACTACTCGCCCCCGCAGCCCACAGGCTCGAGGGTGGGGGAGGGGGGAAGCCTGCCTGAGGAGGGCCCTGTTGCTCACCCTAATGTACAGCCCCGCCATTCCATGCCCTTCCCCCCTCCCAATTTGTAATGCTGTAAAGCTAACCAACAACATGGAGTGAGCTCTACCAGGATTGCAGGGACGGGGGTCAAGGGGTAACACCCCCTCCTGTAGGAATAGAGGCCTCCCTGTTATTGGCCAGCCCTCACCAGCACAGACTAGAAAGAGGAGAAGCAGTGGAGGGGAAGAGTAGAGCAGGAGGGCTGACAAGTCAGCTCACTGACCTGTGGGGGGCTGCAACTTCTGCAGGATGCTGGAGACAGCCAGCTTCTTCTCCAGGGTGGTAGAGCTCAGGTACTCATGATCCAGCAGCTTGAGCAGCAGACTGAGCTCTGGGAGGAGCTGGTCCAGCACTAGGGAAAGCAGAAGAGACAGCTCAGTCAAGGGAGGGAGCCAGCTGGGGAGAGGACCCGAAGGCTTCACTGCTGCACTCCTTCCTCGCCATGGATGGGGTGATGTTAGCAGTGGGGCTCACCAAGAGATGGAGGGAAGGATAAAACAAGAAAGTTTCAGGAGCATACAGTATCTCATAGATTTCATAGACTTTACAGCTGGAAGGGACCTTGGAAGATCAGAGTCCAGCCCCCTGCCCCAGGGGCAGGAAGTCAGGTGGGGTCATAAGATCCCAGCAAGATAAACATCCAAATGTCTCTTGAAGGTGTTCAATGTAGGTGCTTGAACCACCTCCAATGGCAGGCTGTTCCAGACCTTGGGGACTCGGACAGCGAAGAAATTCTTCCTTATGTCCAGCCTGAAATGGTCTTGCAGGAGTTTATAACCGTTAGACCTTGTCATCCCTTGGGGTGCTCTGGTGAACAATCGTTCCCCCAGATCCTGGTGAACACCCCGATAAACTTATAGGTGGCCACCAGATCACCCCGAGCCTGCGCTTTTCCAGGCTGAAGAGCCCCATGGCTCTCAGCCTGTCGTCGTAAGGTCTGTTTTCCTGACTGATCATGCGCGTGGCTCTTCTCTGGACTTCCTCAAGCTTCTCCACATCCTTTTTGAATTGTGGAGCCCAAAACTGGACACAGTACTCCAGCTGTGGCCTCACCAAGGCCGAGTACAAGGGGAGAATGACGTCCTGGGATTTGCTTGAGAAGCATCTATGGATACAAGCCAGTGTTTTGCTCACTTTACTAGCCGCAGCATT